TATTGGATTGTTGATTTATGAAATCAACCATTTCAAGCATGATCCAGTTAAAAATATATCTATTAATAATTAAAATCAAGTCCAAACAATAAAATTTTATCCTAATTTTAAAATAATAAATTTGAATTTTGATACTAAATTTCAGCTAAAATTTCTATTTTGAGGTCTTTTTTCTTAGTTTTGATTGAAGTAGGTCTCCAAGTCCAGTCTTCCACTAATTTATACACTTCTAATTGTTCTATCTTATGAAATCTTTTTTTATAATTTATAAGTTCCAAATCATCACGATAAACATCTTTAGTATAACCTAGTGATGTTAGCCGGCTAAGCCGTTTACTGCCTAAATTGGTAATTTTATTTATATAACAATAAAGTAACGCAGAAATCTATTACCAAATTTAGAAATGATGCATGCAGATTATTAGCCAGCTAACATCACTAGTATAACCACAGTAAGGTTCACCATCAATGCTGTTAACTAATGCCAAATCATGAAAACTTATAATATTTCCATGAAAGCTTATATTATCTTCAGTACAATAAACACCTCCACTATTATGTTCTATTGCCCAGTCAGGATATCGGTTTTTGCTCATTATTGACTTAGATAATTCATTTTTACCAAGTTTAAAAATAATACTTTGGTCCACTTCAATAAGATAACCTTTATCTGGAGAATATCCTTTTTTATTCCAACAAACTGGGTTATAACCACCAACCAATTCACCAGTTTCTTTGAGTTTCATTATAACCACAGTTCCTTTTATATTATAACATTTCTTCTGCAAAGCTGACCTAGAAAATCCATCACAAGATCCACAAAAAATTAATTTGAATTGGTAAGGAAGATCACCTTCATTATATGGTATGATTTTCCAACCAGTCCATGCAGAAACAATCCATTCAGAAATTGAGTGCTTCATTTCTAAATTTAATATTTTTCCAGCTTCTGCTCTTGAACCTTCATGAAGTGCTAATCTTGGTTGATGATTATTAGTAATATGGTGTTGAAAAAGTTCTTTGTAAATTTCTTTAATAAAGACTTCTTTATAAGGTTTAATCTTTTTATAAAAATCAGTTGATGAAATTTCCTTGAATCTTATCAATGGAATAATATCCTCCAATATATTTTTCAACAT